TATGGAGGGGGGGGCCCATGTGAATGCCCTATATCCCATTAGTCTTGTAGGGGCGACACCATTCTTAACAGGGAAGTAATGACAGACTTCACATTCCTGGGATCCCAGATCACCGCAGACTGTGAAAGCAGCCATGAAATTAAAAGACGCCTGCTCCTTGGGAGGAAAGTGATGGCGAACCTAAACAGCATGATAAAAAGTAGAGACATCACCCTGCCAACAAAAGTCCGCATGGTCAAAGCAATGGTATTCCCAGTAGTCATGTATGGCTGCGAGAGCTGGACTATAAGGAAGGCCGAGCGCCGAAGAATAGATTCTTTTGAACTATGGTGCTGGAGGAGACTCTTGAGAGTCCCTTGGACGGCAAGGAGATCAAATCAGTCAATCCTCAAAGAAATCAACCCTGACTGTTCCCTGGAAGGCCAGATAATGAAACTGAAGCTCAAATACTTTGGCCACCCAATGAGAAGGGAGCACTCACTGGAGAAGACCCTGATGCTGGGAAAGATTGAAGGTCAAAGAAGATGGGGACGGCAAAGGATGAGATGGTTAGACAGTGTCATCGACGCAATGAACATGAAATTGAGCAAACTTCAGAGGATGGCGGAAGACAGGAAGGCCTGGCGGGAGCTGGTCCATGGGGTCGCGAAGAGTTGGGACTCGACTGTGCGACTGAACAACAAATTTTAATTATTATTGCAAGCCACCTTGAACTAAGAGGATAGGCGGGATAGAAATGTTTTAAATAAATAGATAAATAAACTTAAAAGGATTTCTAACACTGGCTCCACCCACTGGTGGCCCCAGGCAGCAAAACGCAGACCTTTGTCTTGCAGGGAGAGAAGACGGGACATGACAAAGAGTATTTATTCTCAACCCCAACCCCCCCCCAAAAAAAACCAGAAGAGCTCACACAAGTTGCACTGGGGGGGGGGGAGCCTCTTGGAACACTAGGCAGGATAGAAACCAAAAAATCTGTATTTCATGATGGAAAGAAGTTGCTTTCTTCATACACAGATGTCCTTTGTGTTAATGGGAAACATGGTTAAATCACTGTGTGTTTCTTTCCATGTGAGCTTAAGCTGCGTGCAGCTTGGTCATTAGGAGCCGTGAGTTCACCAGCATCAGGACACTGCTTGGGTGAAACTGAGTTTGAAAATCAAGCACCTTCGACACGATGGTGAAACAAACTGGGGGCAGGGTTCCCCTTGGCTCGCCTTTACTCTGGGATGTCCTGAGACAGGCACTTGTCCTCCAGCGCCCTGGGAACACAACACACACCTTTGCCTCTGGCTGCAGGGTTCCTACCAGACATATCTGAGAAGAGCTGCAATTCAGGACAAACGATTTGAGGGAAAGCAGGCTGAATATTTTGTGTGCATTTTACAGAGCTCCGCTTTAGTTGGGCTTCGACACTGGGATGTGCAGGTGCTACAAATCCAGACACAGAGCTCAAACTGAGCACAAGTTAAAAAGATAACACATGCAAAAGCTAAGACATCCTCTGCACAAGCTGGCTTTAAACAGGCAGTACAGAGCCATAGCGTGCAACGGCCATTCCTGGGCTGAGAGGCCAGCTCTGCTCAGGGCATCCACCTCGGATTCTGAATGCTCAGAACTTGTGGCTATGGGCAGGCTGGGAGTGCAACGACTATGCTGAAGATCACATGAAAGGAGACATGAGGATAGAGATCCTAGCTCCCACCCCACCCCACCCCACTTGTCGATGCCTAACTCCCACACAGCCCTGTCCGTTTGTATCTATCTGGACAAACTGGATGCAGAGGAGGAGCTGTAGGATGTCGATGGACCCACGGACAGGAAGCTGCTCCAGGCCACTGATGTCTCTGGTGTGGCAGTCAAAGGAGAACTAAGAAGGAAACATGGCTCCTCCAGCCTCTCTGAGCCCACACCTTGCTCCCAGTGTTTGGGGCCAGTGCCCCCTAAGTCCTTTGAAGCTCAGTGCCAGAAGTTCTCCGGTTCAGTTCTGCACATGTTCAGTTCCCATCAGGGTGACAGACAGAAGAGCATCTCCTGCTTCCAGGAAAAGAAGCCGTCTCTTTGTCAACAGTTCCCAAGATCTTCCCATTAAGAACATGGGAAACACCACTCCTGAACCTACCGGGTATCAAAAGATACTGAGCAATACATGTAGCTGTCATCTTCAACTCTGATTGAAACCTTAACAGAGACTTTAGACCTTGAGGGTCTTTGAAAAGGGTGCATTTGACTCATGGTACCCACAACTCCCACTACTTTTGTTCCTGCCCTGTAGTATTTACGACCAACTGTTCCTTTCTCCAAAACAAATCATTGTGACATAGTTACAGGTCGTAATTTGAAACCCAGTTCTGTTTTAAGTTTGCTGCCTTCAGTTTTGCAACTGTGTCATGCCATGCCCTGGCATGCTGGCTGGAAAGCACAAGGGAAAAGGGCATTCAAGAGGCATTTATGATCGGCCAAGTTAATGTCCCAGAAACTGGCTTGGCCTTGGTGCTGACAGCCCGACAGCCCCTCCTGGATGCCTCAGCACTTCGGAGCAAATCTCTGCATTTAAAGCAGACTAATTCAGTCTCCCTCCCTCCTTTTCTTTTTATTAACTTCATTTATATTCCACCTTTCTTGCAGAAACTCTTTCTAAGTTGCAGGAGCAATTCAGCAGTTGTACAGCTGTTCAAAGTACTTCCTTTACATGCCCTGGAAAGCAAGTTAGTATTGTTTCCTTATGGCAGCTGGTGGGGAGGGGGTGCGGAGAGAGAGAAGGGCTTTTCTGAGGCCACCCAGTCAGCGCTGGACTGGGACGCTTGATGCTACCGAGGGTGACAAACGACAGAGCAACGCCCAGAACATTCACACTTCCCATAAGAAGCCCCAGAATGCTGCTGTCCTTCCCGCATGCCCCTAAAACCTAATCTGAAATTGCATCCCTTGGAGAGGCCTATATAAGGTTTTGTTTTATTTATTTATGTATTTATTTATTTATTGCACTCCCTTTATTAATTGCCTATCCCCACAGTTGTGGGGCTCTAGGCAATGTGCAGAGCTCTAAAAGCATAAAAACATAAGCATAAAACATAAAGCATAAAAAGATGCTTTCATCTTTCAAAATATCTGACAGACATGCCTAATAAAAATGATGGAATGAGACAGCCATTCCAAAGTCCATTTTATAAATAAAATTAGTTCATGAATCATGGGTAATCTTGGAACAGTCATTCCCGCTTTGCATTTACTATCTTGCAGAGCTGTTGTGCGAGGGGAAAAGCAGGACAAGATCATCCACGTGCAAGACCCTGAATGCCCATGAGGAAAAATGGCACAGAAATGAGAGGAGAATGTGTGTGTGCGCGCGTGCGTGCGCGTGCAATGGCCCTCCTTGAGCACACAATGCAGGGTCCCACGGGAGGAGGCTGAGCCTCTGGGCACAGGGGGGTAGGGATTCAACCAGCCTGAGTCCAGCGTGAGGGGCAGGTTTTGCCTTGGCCAACTGTCTCCTAGGATGGAGAGAGGTTATTTTGTGCCGTGGAAGTCAGAGTCATTACAAATTCCAGCTCCTTCCGCATATAGGATTGTTACTTAATGTAACATAAATTTAGGTACTCCCAGACTAATTTTCAGACTTGCTACATCCTGCAGACTTTGAAGTTCTCTTTGAAAAGCTGCTCAGCTCCAGCCAGATGCCAAGATGTCTTGAGTCAGTGACAGCGAAATGTTGTCGCTTGTACAATCATTAGTCAGCAACAGCAAGAAGAGGAAATGCCAACTTAGCCACTAACCTTGTTTAAGATGAAAAATCTAATCAGCAAAAACAGCACACCAGACATCATACCAGATAACAGGGGGGAGATAAACCAAGAAGCAACTGAATAAAAAGAAAAAAAGAGGCAATATGCAATGAGGCACGATCCCATTTAAGAAGAGAAGAGAAGAAGAGATGGGATTTCTACCCCCTTTGCCCTTCACTACCCAAAGGAGTCTCAGAGCGGCTTACAAACTCCTTTCCCTTCCCCTCCCCACAACAGACCTACCCTGTGAGATAGGTGGGGCTGAGAGAGCTCTTGACAGAAACTGCTCTTTTTCAAGAACAGCTGTGCCAGAGTTATGGCTTGCCCAAGGTCATCCACCCAGGTGCAAGTGGAGGAGTGGGGAATCAAACCCGGTTCTCCCAGATTAGAGTCCACGCACTTAACCACGACACGGCAAAGCACGGCAAAGAGACCCCCTGATCAAACTAACACTGGACAAGATTTATGGTTTCTTGGTCCTGGCAGTCCAGCTAAAGTTAACAACTTGTGCCCCCACCATCAACAACAGTAGGGTTAAACACTGGTTTGCCTCACTCCTTTTAAAATCTACTGGGTCACAAAGTTCTTAGTTTTTAGTTGGGTCACACTAGATGTTTTTCAAAAGCCACAGCACACTCAAATGTGCTGTTAATGAAAGCCAAATCAGCTCCTCCTCTCCCCGAAATGCTATTTTGAGAGCCATTATTTGCATGCTCAATAGGAAGCTGATGATTTCTTCTCTATCCTGTCCAGCATTGAGAAAAGCAGACAACATAACTGATCATGAAAAACACTACAAATATTTCTTTAATGTGGACCTGAAGAAGTGAGCAGTGATTCAGGAAAGTTCATACCCTGCACAAATTCTGTCAGTCTTTAAGGTGCTACTGGACTCTTGCTCTTTTCTGCTGCTACAGACAGACTAACACAACTACCCATCTTGATCTATCTTAAAGTGGAAAGTGGTTTAAAATCAATTCACAGCACTTTTCCAAGTGAAGTCCCAAACTGCAGCATGAAATTACAAAAGGTATAATCAAACTATTCTGTAAATGAAAATCCAGATCTTTAAAGTGGATTACTATGGGGCAGCTATTAAATTAGAAACAAGATCCCGTTCAGTTTTGTCTTCCCCAAATGATAATTGATTCCAGGAACTAATTCCTTCACCTACATTGGTTCCAAAGATAAAAGAACACATACTGCTTTGGGAAGACCCCTACCTATTTGCTGAGGATCTAGCTAGAAAACGTTCTCATCGCTTCTGATATGTGACCATTGCCTTAGTGCAATTCAAGGTGCTTGAGCTGGTGGTGGCTACACAGGCTCAGGCAGTCTTGGGGGAGGTGGCTTATCTAGAACAATTTTAATTTGGATTCAGGCCTGGGTTGTAAACAGCCTTGGTTGCCCTGACTGATGATCTGTGCGAGGAGAGGAACAGCTCAGATCTCCTCCCTGGCATGCTGGACCTTCAGTCAATACTCCCGATATGGCCATTCCTCAGAAAGCATAATCTGCCCACAGTGATCCACACTCTGATCATATCCAGGTTAGGTTCCTGCAATGGGCTCTATGTGGAAGCCAAGCGACAGGCAGGGGCTGGATACAGGGACTGCATATCACCCCTGTGCTGACCTATCAGCACTGGCTGCTTATTTGTTTTTGGGCACTACCCAGTGCTGATTATAGGACCTATAAGGCCCTAAATGGCTTGGGATCAGGGCACCTGAAGGACCACCTTTTCCCGTACTGTCCAGCCCACCTGCTAAAACCTTCCTCATGATTCCTGGTCTTCAGAGGTGAGGCAGTCCTTTTCAGTGGTGGCACCTCACCTTTCCAACTCCCTCCCCTTGAGGGTCACCTGGCTCCTACCCGGCTCTCCCAAGTCCCAGGACAAAACATTCCCTTTTACTTAATGACTGAACAAGGGGTTCGATCTTTTAATTGTTCTTACAATCTGTTTCTAGGCTGAGATCTAAGGATAACTTGGGCTGCCAAGTGTTTTATGGTCTGGATGTTTTATGTGTTTTTATTATTTGAGCTTGTATTGGCTAGTTTTTAATGATTTTTCATTTTCAGGACTGTATTTTGTGCGCTACCTGGAGCAGGTCTCAGAAGAGATGGCATATAAATGTTTTAAATGAGCAAATAAATTCAACTGCTCCAATCAGACTTTTAAGGATCCCAGCTTTCTATCTATACCCAACAATGTTTCTTTCGATTTTTTGTGCCCAGCTATACTGCTAGCCCTCGGTCTTGAAGACTGGAAAGCTGAGGTGGCTTTTTGTCATTTTGCATAAATAAAAGGAAATGCTAATTACCAATTTTGATAAGCTGTATCCACTGGACTCCTTTGGTGCCAATTGCAACTAGTGAGAATCCAATGGTAGCACCCACAATGCAATGGGTTCCGGATATTGGAAGCTTCAAGAAAGACGCAATCAGCTGCCAAACAGCAGAGCCTAAAATGGAAGAGGGCAGGGAAAGCATGAACAATAAATGTTGATGCAAATATTTTTAACACTTCAGCACTTTTGTTCCAAAGCACTCACTTCCCATCCCATAATAAGCTCTTTGTCATGAGTGTTTTTGTTCATAGACGCTAGATTTCTAAAAAGGAATACACAGCTGAAGTACCAGCTTCCTCCAACGCTGCTTCACTTTATGTTTGGAAGTAAACAGAACTTCTGATAAATGCAGACTTTGTGCAAACGGCATACTGGCCTTGCTTTCATTGATACTTGCCCCATTCCATGCATGCTGATGTAAATACTAAGGCAGACAAATGTCGTCCTGCTACATTTTGCAAGAAACCACATTTACCTTTCACTAGTTTTCCAACTTTAAATCCTCACCACAAAATAAGGAACCACAATTTTTAGCAAACTGGACAACCACAAAATCCAGGTTTCTGCATAACGTTGTAAGGGAAGGAAGTTTAAAAAACCCTGTAGCCACAGAACAAACTACAGTGAAAAATGTCAGCAACACTCTGGTGACAACAGTGTTTTATGAATTACTGGCAAAAAGATCAGTGTATGTTAATCACAATTTCTCTCTAACAGCAAAGGATCTTTTACCAGCAAACCTGTAATAACACCGACTATGTAACAATTATACTCTAGTCTTCATGCGTCTGAAACCAAACGGAATGCAGCAGTCCCTCAAGAGGCTAAGAGCAGGGATGAACCAGAACATTTTCTGATGCAAACTTAAATAAATATTTTTAAATTAGCATAATTTTAATAAGATCAACAGAAGCCAGCTTGGTACAAACCCTGGGCTTTATTCAGGTGCTACATTCCACATTTATCCCATATAACATGATTGGTTTGCAGCTATATTGCATACGTGGGCAGAAAACTTTCAGTGGAAAAACAGAACACTAGCCCTGCCCTGGGTAGCCCAGGCAAGCCCGATCTTGTCAGATCTTGGAAGCTAAGCAAGGCCCACCCTGGCAAGTACTTGGAAGGGCGACCTCCAAGGAATACCAGGGCCGGGATGCAGAGGCAGGTAATATAAATAAGCCACCTCTCTGAAACGTCCTAGTCCCACTAGGGGTCACCAGAAGTCACCATGACTTCCAGGCTCACAAGCACACACACACACACACAGACAAATACTCACCAAACAAATAAAAAAGAAAGAAAAATATAGCACCAGAAAATGTTCCACTTCACATTACTAGCTGAGCAAAGGGAAGCCGTAGTAAGCATCTGAGAGACACTGGCTCACCTCTTGGCGGTTACTGTTTACCAGCAGATGCCTTTAATTTCTTCCCAGCATGTCAAAAGTACCACCCTGTGCCCCCTGAAGCAAGCAAAGCATCCTGGCACGAGACACTGGCAAATGTCAGGACTGGAAAGAGCCTTTTTTCCCGCCTCTCTGGCCTTTCCTGTTTTTCAATAGCCAGCCTGGTGAAAAATTCTGGATTAAGTTAAATGCTTACACAAAGAATTGGGTTGGGGGAGGGGTTAAATAAAAGGCAAGACATCACTTTGCATTTATATATTATCAAGACCTCTAGAAAGCCACAATAAATCCAAAATATACTTGGATAAAACACAAACTGGCCACACCTGCCTATTTGGGTTAGGAGCGCGGACTCTAATGGGTAGGAGCGCGGACTCTAATGAGCCAAATGGGTAGGGCGGGATACAAATCCCATAATAAATAAATAAATAAATAAATAATCTGGGAGAACTGGGTTTGATTCCCCACTCCTCCACTTGCACCTGCTGATATGACCTTGGGTCAGTCACAAGCTTTAGCACAGCTGTCCTTGAAAAAGAGCCGTCAAGAGCTCTCTCAGCCCCACCCACCTCACAGGGTGTCTGTTGTGGGGAGGGGAAGGGAAAGGAGTTTGTCAGCCGCTCTGAGACTCCAAGTGAAGGGCGAGGTATAAATCCAATCTCTTCTTCTTCTTCTTCTTCTTCTTCCAATCCTGCTTGAGCAGCTGCAAGTGCTGTGACCCGGACCAGACTGGCTAGCACCCATGAGCACTGGGCTGGATTTGCCTTGGTAGATGGTGGTGAGCTCTAGCAGGTCAGGCAGCATGTCAGTGCTCGCTCGCTCACCCACCCAGGGGGTCCCGCAAGCACGGGAAGGGTCAGTGTCCTTAGAAGCCCCTCCTGAGGTTTGCCAAATTAACGATTGCCATGATGGCGCCATGCAAGGTAAAGCCGTAAGACCAGGTACAGGCCAGGTCTCCTTCTTGAAAAGCAAGAAGCCAAGTTCCCCTCCCAGACAGCCGACCTGCTCTAGAGGTAGAACGAGTGAGGAACTGGCGTCACATACAGCTCCCTTGGGAAGCCCTGTCCTGAGCGTCTCTTTTCTCCTTCCCAACCAGAACAGAACCAGTCACAAGAGGAAACCCGAGACTCTCAAATCCCTCTCCCCAGGGGCCAGAGCCTTGCTTTGACTTAGCTCAGCTACATGTTTCCCACAAATACTCTGACCAGGCTGATCCTCCTCTGGAATGCTTTTGGGCTGCTCAATCATTCCTTTCAACAATCGTTGTAAGCAAGAGCAAAACTTATTACATGCAGTCCAAGCAGAAACCCAGCAATGTAGGCAAGATCCCACTGTGTGTGTTCCCGGAAGTTATGCTCAAAGAAGGTTCTGTTTCTCGCTGCAGTCTGTTTGACGGACTGCTGAGTGGCTTCCTGCTCATGCCGGCTGCAGCAGCAGTTCTGAACCAACGGGCCATCGGTTTTTGTTCCCTGGGTAAAGGGCCTTAATGTCTGCTTTTCACGTTACATCCAAAACAATTATCCTTTTCTTTTTTAAAAAAACAACATTATTGTGTGATTCAGAAATGACAATAGAAAAAAATCAAAATGAACAGCCACTTTGGCAGCAAAGTAAACGTTTCTAATTTGTAGGGTAGGCAGCCTCCAGGTGGGGCCTGAAGATCTGGAATTACAACTGGTCTGCAAGTTACGGAGAACATGAACACACACACGAAGCTGCCTTAGACTGACTCAGACCATCGATCCATCAAGGTCAGTATTGTCTACTCAGAGTGGCAGCAGCTCTCCGGGGTCTCAGGTGGAGGTCTTTCACATCCCCTATTCCCTGATCCATGAACTGGAGATGCCAGGGACTGAGCCTGGGACCTTCTGCATGCCAAGCAGAGGCTCTGCCACTGAGCCATGGACCGCTTCAGCCTTTTTAGCTGGAGGCACGATGAGCATGAGGGAAGCGTGACCAAGAGCAGATCTGCTGAGACATGGATCTGGGAGGCAGAGCCGAATGTGTCAATTCTTCTCTTTTTTTTTAATGATATTTTATTTGGTTTTACAAAATTAACATTTCAAAATCATAATAACATATATAATAAGAGTCTCATATGTTCAATGTTTCTATCCAATCATACACCTTAACCCATCTTTTATTATATACTTTTTCACTCTTATTTTGCAGCTTCAGACTTAAACTGTCCATTTGCGCTAGCTCTAACACTTTTACCACTAAATCTTCCCTAGTCGGTACTGTATCTAATTTCCAGTTTTTGGCCAGTAGTAAACGGGTGGCTGTCGTTATATAAAATCACATATCTATCCTGCTGTTCATAGCCCTTAGGTACCATATTTAATAAATATATTTCTGATTCCAGAGCTATATTTTTCTCCATTATGTCTTGGATCAACCTCCTCACCATTCTCCAATATTCCTGACTTTTGCTACATGACCACCACATGTGGAAAAAAGTTCCAATATTGACCTTACATTTCCAACATTGACTAGAGTAGCCCAGATAGCACTTAGCTATATTCTCCGGGGACCAATGCCATCTATGGAACATCTTATAAACGTTTTCTTTATAGGCTATGGCCCTCATAAATTTAATCGATTCCCATGTTTTATTCCACCTATTTACTTCTATCTCTTTTCCTATATCTTTCATCCAGCTACTCATTACTCTCTTCTCTTCCTCGTCCTTTTCGAAATCATCCAATAGAAAGCTGTATAATTTCTGTATCAATTTATCGCTTGTGGATAGCCATATTTTATCTAATTCGTTGTTGCTACTCTCAAAGCCTCTTACCGCATCCTTTTTATATCTATCTTGGAGCATTGCCTTCTCCCACCATGATATTATATTATCCCTTTGTAACTTCTCCTCTATTACTATTTTATTTTCTCTAATAAAGTTTGATATGTTAGTTTCTTATTTGTTTCCATTAGGGCGGGTTGGACAAATGCCTCCAGGGGTGAAACCCACTTTGGTGTCTTCTTGTAAAAATTTTCCTTTATCTTATTCCATACTTTGTTTAAGGCACCTCTTAACCAATGTTTATTGAAATTAGAATGAATTTTATCCTTGTCGTACCATATGTAAGCATGCCACCCCATAGCTAGATCATGGCCCTCCAATAGTAAAAGTCTTCTATTCTCCAGGGTGATCCATTCTTTAATCCACACAAGGGCAGCTGCTTGGTAGTATAGGTACCAATTGGGCATGTTTAATCCTCCTCTTTCCTTTTTGTCCTGCAATATTTTCCTTTTTATCCTCGCCCTCTTATAGTGCCAAATAAATTGGCTCGTGATTTTGTTTAGATCTTCAAAAAAGGTCTGTTTTTTTCAATATAGGTATACTCTGGGCTAGGAACAAGACTCTTGGCAATATGTTCATCTTGATTAAGGCAATTCTTCCCATAAAAGACAAGGGTATACTTTTCCATTTTGACAAGTCTTTTATAATTCTTTTATTAACACCTTATAGTTATCCTCTTCTAATGTGCTGCTTTTGTTTGTGATGTTTATTCCTAGATATTTCACTTTCTTTACCAACTCCATGGTTGTTTTACTTTTAATTTCCTCCAGGGTTTTGGGTAAACAATTTTTGGTTATTATTTTAGATTTTTTATAGTTTTTTTTAGTCCTGCCACCTGTCCATATTCACTAATCGTATCCATTAAATGCAATATTGTTTCATTTGGGTTCTCAAGAATAAACG